ATATATCAGGATACTGGCCTAATATTTTATTACGAAAATAAATGCGATCATGGGTCGGATTAGATGAAGATATAGATAATGCACTTACCTTAGTGTCTGATAATTTTGATGAATCGGTTTGCTCAGTCACGTGCGCGTTACAATTTGTAACGCCGATTGATTCATCTGTATTGTCGGCCTTTTGGGGGAAGCATTTTATAATGTCATGAATTTGATTTTCGTTCAAGCTTGAGATCGCGCTTGCACTATAACTAACTACTTGGATCTTATCTATTCCTATTCCCATAAATAGTACGTAGATTTTTTTGGCTCTGAACATTTTCTGACGTAAGTTTACATCAGTAATGTCGGGGAGAAGGGTTTTGATCTCATTATACACCATTGTTCTTGCCGATTGGTCATCAATGATGCTTGTAGACTTGACATCTCTGATTCGGTCCTCATACGCCTTGTAGTAACAATACCAGCATAAGATTTCCTTTTGTCTGACCTTCATTGCCACCCTAAATAGATCAGCTACATTTTGTGCTGTAACTTCACTAGACCCTTTTAGAATCGCTTCTAAAGAGAATTCGGGAATCTCTATATCAAATGCTTTATCTCTACTCTGTGTAGCGGAACCCTTACCTTCAATATAAGCAAATAACTCATGTCTCAAACCTTGTTCTACTTTCTGATTGTAGGGGATTTTCTGATCGGTGAGCACCTGTTCGTTTGCTATAGGAGAACAACCTTGTTCATTTTTTTCGTTCAAGGGAGACCTCGAATTATCTTGAAGTTTCTTCTCCCTATTGCATTGCCTAATCTCATCGCCAACCCTTTTCTTATTTACTTCATCCAGGAAAAAGTCCATCTTCTTTTCTTCTGATGTCCTGGGGCTGGCAGGTACTTCTGGCACCACATCATTCTCTTTGTGATCAGGCTTACACCGCTCGAACTGAGTCATAACAGAGTGAGGTACATTGACAGGTTCTTCAGGATAGAAATCATCTATTTCCTTATTCTCAATTACCTTATTATCAATTACCTTGGTGTTAACACTATTTTGCTTGTCTGTTTGCTGAGGCAAACTCGATACATCAACAGTTGATACTGGGAGTTTGCTTAAGCAAGCCTGCACCTCTGCTACTGCTTCCTTACCAATCTCTGGCTGTCCATCCACTACCGAGGATCCCTGTTCCAATGTCATGAGTCTGGCCTCAAGCTCTTCGACTCTAGACTTGAGCTCAGTATTCTCAGCATCACGCTTGGCATCTTTCTCCATAACCTGCTTTAGAAGTTCAGCATTCCTAGCTTCAATTTCAGCCTTCTCAACCTCAAGCTTGGCGTTCTTAGTCTCAAGCTCACCAATGCGTTGTCTCAATAATTCAAGCTCTGATGACATGATTTATACACTATATATAATTATTCAAAATAAAAAAAAACACGTGCGCGTTACAAATTGTAACGCCGATCACTTTTGCCAAGAAAAATTTTATTAATATATGCGAAAAAATAAATACAAATGTTTGTGTCCTAGCCTGTGATACATGACGTCTATACTAATGTCTGCGTGAAAAAATTCTCGATCATATACACGACATCAATAGCAATACATTCACGAAATACACATGCAAAAGTAAAGTGATTATGTATGCGAAATTGGCCACCAGGGCCAGCTTTATTGATATATAATAAAAAATCAGGATATATTCTAAAAAATAAATCTAATTATTCTGGATCTGAGTGTACTGTGTGGCCTTTTCGCTTTTTAAGTCGTTCTGATTTAGTTTTTGGCGCATTCAACAACATAGAAATGTTAACAATTATAATGTTTCGTAAAAGTAATAATGCACCTACAAACTGAAACACATCATCTTCATCGGTTGGCTGTAATGGAATTTCGACTGAGCACAAATGGTAGAGACGGTGAATTTCATCTGTATCCTTAATTAGAACGTTCAGGTGCATTATTTTTCCAGCAATTTGAATTCCAAGAATTCCAAACTCATTTTTATCTGGTTTGCATCCTTTGTGAACCCAGGTCATTCCATCATTCATTTCTCTCCAGAGCTTCGCATCATCATTCTTTTCTTTGATCTTAGTGCAAACTATACGTGAAGATTCCACGAAGATGAGTTCATATAATTTTTCTTCACACTCTTCGATAAACATAACATCGGGTCTTTTACCCTGTTTTCCATCTCCTTTTCTGTCGGCGCTAGATACACTTTGTCGCTCTGCACTGAATAAAAATAAATTTAAATTTATTACTAGCATATAATCTAACAATATAGCAGATGTTTCTAACTGGGAGCTCTTTTAATGTAGCCCGAAGTAAAGGAACTACAACATCTGTCACGTAGGTTCCTTCACTTTGTGCGTTTTCGAATTTAGGGCAAAAAGCTGGGTTCCTCCACACATTATCACTTTGAGATAAAGATTTTCTTAATGCAAGTAGCAAATATAACAATCCTACAATGAGAATTACTTACAGGGTATTAAGTATTTCTTTGGTAATCTCTACTAGAACTTCTTCCGGTTCCTTCCAAGTTTTGTTATGGGAGAGCTTATGTGGTAACTCATCTAAAATCTCAATGCTAAAATTTCCCACAAACTCATTACATTTTTCTTGAATTATCTCCGGTATGACAGGTTTCATATTCTGTAATGGCTTCATGAAAGATTTATATGCGGATGGTTTGGTTTTTTTCAAATCTTTTACCAAATCTGACCTGTCACTAATTACCTGACTGGCGATTGGATCACGCCATGTCAAGTCAGAAATAGATATATCTTTTAAACCTTGCTGTAATCCTTCGGCATGTATAAAGTTGCTTCTCTATAAGACAAGAATGTATAAATTTTTTCTTTATAGTAAGCTAGAAATGAAGTATCTTAATCAAGAATACCGAAAGTTTCTTCCTCAAATCCCCCATATTATCCCTAATCTCTTTATCGCTAAGAGGTTCCGTCTCTATATCGCAAATACTGCAAATGCCTTCGAAAGCAATATCGAACTAGCGCAGAAAAAATATACATTAGTCTTGGTAAAAACAAAATAAAATTTTGATATCACGAGCTCGTGTCATCAGAACGTTATAACGAAGTTGTCCCTCTGTGTGGCCTACACATTGTATACAACTCCGTCTTCCACAAATAGACTTTCAAATTTGTGGGACTAAAGCCAGAGCACCCCCATACGTCCTTGGAGTTGAATCCAGTACTAGCAGGCATCGGGTGCCCAGGTTTATTATCCTCGCTTCGTGGAGTTGAATCCAATAATAGGATATCCCTATTGGCTAAAGCCCTCACAGATCCAAAAATCTGTTCTCACTACATCGGAAATGCGCCAATCATCATATGACACTAAAAACTTATTTTTATAAAGCATACTGACCTGCAAAGAAACCGCTTGGAGTCTTTCTTGCGCTCTCACATCTCGAGAATGTTTATATTTTGCTAAACTAACAGCATCGTTGACTATGTTTCTTAAAATATCTTGTTCAATATATGGATTTTCTTCCATGGCTTGATAAACCACGGAAAAAGCGGTAATCTTTTTTAATGGAGAGGTAGTAAGAAAATTAAAAATTTTATCAGATAAATCAGACATGATTGCGTAAAATTTTAGTTAAAATGTGAGACAAAAAATATAGCAATAGCAAGAAAAAAAAATCTCAATAAACGGCAATTTTGATATACTGCCCTTTTTATGCGTTTTCTTCATCCCTCGAAATGTATAGAAAGGTTAAACAAAAGCTGAAGATGCGCTCTTACGTCAAAGAATTTTAAGGAATTTCTATTAATAGTAGAAGATGAAGCAAGGAATTTTTATAAATGCATGCATCAACGAGTTATTGTGCCGTATGAGGTTAAAATTGCTTAAAACGTGACTATTCAATTACACACGCATATATTGTGTGAATTTACCAGATAAGGTTTGGTCCGGTGTTGGTTCAGAAGATATGTCACGAGATAGTTGGCCGACTTTGGTTAGGTACGTATGTACTAAAAATGAAAAATTATACTTTTACATATCCGTCTTACAAATATAACGATAAGCCCTGTGAAGTGGCATAAATAAATTTTTCTGAGGCATAAATTTTCGTTATCGTTATTACCAAATTATTATTTAATTAATCGAGAATTTTCACATTCACATCGCTTATATATTCCATTCGCTACTTTTTTACAGGTCTTACAATATAGGTGTGAATGATGATCGCATTCGTCACAAAC